CAATGAAATATATGAAAATACAGTGATATCTTCATCGCAGTGAAATGACTAGTTCTTCCAAGAGAAATATTTTTCTGTTCCTTGAATCTGTAAGCACAGTTTAAGCATGTTTCTCTACATACAAGTTGGATTTAATTTGTTTAGCATCTGTATATGTTCTATGATTTAAATAATGTAGAGTCATGGAACAGAAGCAAAAAGTTAATTGTGTATTTTTACCTCATCTCTCTTAAATTCATACTGTGCTCTCATTATTTCATTTTTCAACTATATCTTGATTGATAAGGGTGCTTTCACTTACCACCTACCCCTTCCTTGTTCTTTCTTTACCCTTTACACATTGTCTCCATGTAGCCACTCGTTGATCACTGGATTTACATGGAAAAAAAGTCATAGCAGACACTGTGTGTGTCTTGCCTTTCCTCCTGTCCTGACCTGGAGGTTACTGCAGTTTCTTTGGACAGATTGCATATTTATTATTCGATCTGGCAAATTTCATTGAGTGCAGAAATGTGTTCAGCCAGAGCATGAGATGGGAAAGTTAAGGCCCAATTAATGAGGAGCAGGAGTTGACGGATAAACACCTGAGTCAGGCTCCTTGTTCTTTAGATAGAGAGCTTTGAGGTGCCCTCAACTTGGTCTCTCAGAGGGTTCCTAGCAGCAGGGAGCCAAGTTTCCCACAGTGATAACCTGCTCATTAGTGCCCCTTTACTGGCGTTTCTTCTATCCTTCGTTTGCCCTTTTCTGCTTCTTCAATGTTTCCTGTGATCTCAGCCCAAATGAACTGCTGTGCCAGGACCTGCTTTTAAGGGGATTCAAACTAAGCAGATATTTCCTACCTGAGCATTTTAAAATTGGAGTTTTTTTCTGTTTTTTTTTTTTTTTTAATTATTTATTTATTTGTGTGTGTGTGTGTGTGTGTACGTGTGTTTCTCCTTCCTCACAATGTTCTCTGTGAATTAGGTTACTCTATAATACTTAGATTATTTCCATTCAAAAAAAGAAAGTCTTGAGCTTAAGTTAGAATATCTCTAATTCAAGGCAACTGGAAGGTTTATACAGTTGTTAACTGCTTTCTAATTTGCTCGGAGTCTGGATGGAAAGCTGGGTTCCTTTTTCATAATTAAGTGCTCCAGATCTACAGAGAGTCAAAGTCTGTAAGAATGTAAAGATGATTAACACTGTATCCTGCTTTCAGATTTTAAAAAAGATGCTTATCTTCATGTTTGCCTATTATGTTAGGTAGCGACAAAAACAAAGCACCTAAGAAGTCAATGACTTCTGCTAAAATAGTATTTTCTTTCTATATAATGTATTCTTAGTTAACCCCCAAATTAAATATTTGCATCACACACCCAGAATACGTCATGAGGAACTGAATCACTACAATTTTTAGTGGGCATGAACCCCAGTATACAAACTTGGGTTTGAAAAATATGTATCTGTCTCTACTATTTCATAATTCAATATTATTTTTTCTTTCAACTCCCTATTCTGCCATAACCTCAGAAAACTTTATCAATTTGGAATTCCCACTTAATTTAAATTCTAGGAGATACTGTTGTACCAAGGCCTGGAGCATGAGATCTGAATCCTTTGACAGGCATATATTTCCTAAGACTTCTTTCATCCCTATTGTTTTGGCACTTTTTAGTGCTAGCTGGTCTCTCTGCTCCCTCCATTCCACCACTGTGGACTGGGAGCTGTTTCCCTGGAACATGGGAGTCTTTTCCATGAGATGACTATGTCCTTGTCTACATAGGCAGCCACACTCAGTGAGCTCAAATAGGAAGGGACAAATTGATCTCCTATGATCTTGAATATCCAAATGTTTGGGATTTGGTGTGGGTCAAGAGGCCAGTTATTCCTCTCTTGGACCCACTGAAATGTCTGTTGCTCAGTCCAAGAAAACTTTGTTTGCCAGGAGAAGAGGTGCTTATGGGGACATAGGAAGAATTCCTTTTTCTCAAAGGTATTTTCTAAAATATACTTTCTATGTTGCAGTTACTGAAATTCTATTAAGATTTTATCATTTTGGAAAATAGAAACCACAGACTTTTTGCTCCCCTTTCCCTTCCTTTCTTTCGCTTTCTTTCTCTCTTCTCTTATTTTCTTGTCATTCAACTTCGCCATGCCTCTCCAGGACCAATTATTTCTTTCTATCTATCTATCTATCTATCTATCTATCTATCTATCTATCTATCTATCTATCTATCTGTTTATCTATCTATCACTTTGTGCATCCTTTGTACTAGCTATTATTGAAAGGGCTTTAGATTATGCATGTTAAATTATCTAAATGTTGCAAGATAGTTACAATTATTTTCCCCATTTCAACAATGGAAAATTGAGACCCTCAACTGAAGACAAAGAACTTACTCAAGTTCACATAGGTATTAAATGGCAGAGTCAAGACTTGAACCAGGTACCTTGCTCTGGAATTTGTACTCTTACCACTTAGCTATCACATTATATAATACTTCACAGAATGCAATCATGACACTTTTCATCTGGCTGAAGAGTCATAGTGGTAGCCTGGCTAACACAGAAGGTAATATGAAGAAAAAATTGACAGGAGTAGCTATGGAAACCTATAAAAAGAGAATGACTAACCTAGAATGTTTTATGTTACTCTTTGTATACCCCCAAATTAGCAAATGATTCATCCAATATGAGATATTTTCCTTAAAATATTTTAATAGACAAAAATATGTTTATGTTTTTCCTATATCAGTTTTTACTCAAGGACATGATTTACACTGAAGCTTGATAAATCCTAATATCTCTGGTGCTTAAGCAAAGCCTTACAGTTTTAAAAAGCTGATATTTATGAAAGAAAAAGTAAAATACTAGAACAAAATGACAATGATTTCAACTTTTTTTTTCTTTTTTTGAAATTTAAAGCTAGCAAATTTTGATATTAAAATATATACAAATGTTTTAAAAGTCTTGAAATTGTTATCTGTTTTGTGGTCTACCTGGGCTATTTTTAGTTTCAGGTATAATCAGATAAAATAAGTGCCACCATCAATAAAAGTAACTTGAGCAATACTGTGTTTTCAAGTCAAATTTGGAAGAAAACATTTTTAATAATGTTATGAAGGTAGTTCTAAAATGTATTATAGTTAGAACAGTGATCTTGTTATATATGCATTATTTTTAAACTTTGAAATTGTCTTAAGCTTTGGTTCATTAAATAATATCTAATAGAAGACAACTCATCCGATACAAATCAATTTCAGGGGCAAATATTCCTTGACTTAATGTCACCATTGTGTGTGTCCATAGTCCAAATATAAGCTGTTTATGACCTTTAGGCCTTGGGTCTTTTAATTAGACTAAAATGTGATGTAAAAGAAATAAATTTTTGTTAATATGATATAAATGTTGAGATCTCTATAGTTATATTTTAATCAAATAATTTTCTATGATTATGCTATTTACTTTAAGTCAGGCTATAGAGATTTTCTTTACCTCTTCATGACAATACGTTAATAATTAAGTATAATGTCTATTTTCAGAATATTTAATTAGTAATGTCCTCCATCAATTTAAAATTAAATAACTCTTTGAGATTTTTTTCACCAAAATATGGCAACTTTTGCATACTTTTTCATGATGTGCATTTCCCAACAGATTTTCAGTCATAAATATTTATAATTTCATATTAACTCTTCAGAAGGGCTAATAGTATGACATTTTAAAAATTCCCATATTATTTAAAGTGATGTTGGAAGAGTCAACATGAAACATTGATGTTTAAAAAGGTCATACAGGCACTTCATGCCTTTCCCATAGAACTATAATGTGGAATTATTTTCTTGCCTCTTCTGGCTTTTTTTTTTTTTTTTTTCCAAATAAGGCAGACAATTTTGAACTTCACAAGTAGTCTAACTTTTATTCTGAGTAAAACACTCAACTCTAAGCTGAAGTTAATGTATTTTAAAAAATCACACAGTACAATTGAATAGTTTAAATATTTCTAATATAGATTGATTTCATACAATACAGCTCTAACATTGACAAAATATTTCTGAATGTGTGACTTGAAATGTCATTATAATGTATTTCCCCTGTTTTTATTTAGGGATGCATTATTTAGGCTAGCACGGCAGTGGAAGCAGAACAAAAAGTGCTATATGTGAATAAAGTTTTTGTACAGTTTCTATTTGGAGTGTTTGATGAAAAGGCTGCACACAGCTTTTTCTATTGAATGAATGTTTATCTTTGTATTTTTTAACCTAAAAGATTACAAAAGACTTGTTTTTAGTAAGGGATTATTATAACCCAAACAGTAGTGGCAAGCATGGTTTAGTGGCTGTTTGAGCTCTCAAATGTTTGTTTATAAGTTTTAAAGCAGTGTTTATAGGAGCTCACTGCCTTGACCTTTGTAAGTGAAGAGGTTAGAGATGAAGTATGGACACTGCATTAGAATTAGATGATTTTATGTTTTCTTTTGAGAACAAAAATCAGGCTCACTGAATGGTAAAAGCCTGGGTGATCCATGACTTTATCTGTCACTTGGTTGTATTCAGATTGCAAAAAATTATCATTTCATCTCAGAATGATCCAAAAAATAAATGATTAACCATCTTCACCATGAAAATACAAGGACTGAATATCTGCAGTATCTGTACTGGGAATGATAAAAACAGAAGACGATTGTCAGCATTAAAAAAGAAAGGGATATTTTGTTTTAAAACCTTAATCATGCTTATTATTCCAATTTCAGAACAATAATCCAGGAAATATAAATTTTATTTCCACTTTCTATGTGTAAGATTCTTAATACAGTTCTACATGTTTATACCACTTAATTAAAATAAGAAACCATTAAATCTTGTTTAAATTTGAGTAAGAGAGTATAATACAGTATGATTTTGGCAACAGAGGACTGTATTTCATTTTAATTTCTTGAATGAACCAATATAATGCATGCTGTTGAATTCTAGTTGTAGCATATCTAAATAGGTGCATGTTCTTTTGTTTATGTCTTTTAGCATCACCGTCAATTAAACTCTTGGTGGATGATCCTATAGTTGTAAATCCTGGAGAGGCCATAACATTAGTATGTGTTACAACAGGAGGAGAGCCTGCACCTTCTCTCACCTGGGTCAGGTCCTTTGGGACTCTGCCTGAAAAGACTGTTTTGAATGGAGGAACTTTGACCATACCTGCTATCACCTCAGATGATGCTGGTACTTACAGCTGCATTGCCAATAATAATGTGGGAAACCCTGCAAAAAAGTCCACCAACATCATTGTGAGAGGTAAGTTTGCTGAGAGGATGTTGCAACATAGATTCCTAGGTTAGGCTCTCAAAAAGCGAATAATGCTTGATACAAAATTACCTCTTCAAATATTGCATATATCTTTACGGAGAAAATCATGTATAAATCATAATGGTGGGTAATTGTAAGTGGAACTTAAACAGGTTAAAGATTAATAACAGTGCTTTATATTTGCATTGAATAGCTTTCATAACACATTCTTAGTGATACCATCAAATGCTTTTTATATGTTGTTAAAAAAATTGAAACAAAAAATGTGGCATACAGCTTAAAACATTCACTGTGTAAAATATATGGATTGTAACATAGTTTAGGAATTCAGTAAATTTATCAATTTAATAAACTTTCATTCAGCCCCTATTACAATCATGGTTTTAAATTGTGAGGTTATATAGAGATCTATCAAACATTATTACCCTGTACTCAGGATTTCACTGTCAGATAGTGAAAATAATATTTATCAATAGTCATATGATAAGGTGTTTGAAAAGAACAAACAAAAGATATAGAAATTAAAGAGAAATGTATAGCCACTTCAGGCTGAGGTTATTAGGGAATATCTAATGACATTTGTACTAGATCTTATAAGTTGAGTAGTGTTTTGACAGATTGAAATTGAGAAAAGACAGAAAATTCAGAGATAGAACATGCAATGCTTATTTGAGAAACTGAAGCAAAATGTAAGTCAGTAAGTCAAAGTAGCAATGCTGTTCTAATGTGGCCATTACCAGCTAGTATGCTGGCACCACGCAGGCATGTTTTCCCTCCATTTTGGAAGATGGAAAGAAGTTCTGAGGCAGATGTACAAAGAGACCATATGCTTCTTCATGTCTCACTTCACCTGGTATGGTCCTGGGTTGGAAGTGGAGGGTGGACACTGATGCCTCTGAAGTTAAAATAGACATCCATATGCTGAAGATGACCTTTTGAACATGCAAATGAAAATTACTTATGATGGAAGCAAAACATAATCAAGTGTATAGAGATAAACATGTGAATATAGATTGTGGTGGTTTTATTTATCTGTTATGCAAATTATTAGAAATATGCAATTTGACAAAAGTATACTCTATTCAAAACATTTCAAGTTACAGTGTAAATCAAAACACTGTGAATAGCATACCATCTGCCACAAAATTGTACACCATACAATATTTAGTAATTATAACATGTACAATTATTTTACATATCAATACAAAATAAAACATACTGCCAGTTAAACTACCATAATGTGTTATGAGATAGAAGATTATTGATAAAGCTCTTCTAAATTTGTTTATACTTAGATTTTCTTTTAAAACATGCTTTTAAAATGTTTCTTTTAAAACATGCTTTTAAAATGTTTCTTTTAAAACATTTATTAGCCTACATAAAAAGGCCAATAAAAGCAAACTAAATTGATTAAATTATTCATAACACTTCACACTCAGAACTCGACTTCTAAATTAGTTTTCATTACAAGGTCATTGATGATGATGCTTTGTTATACGATATTGTTCTTGTGTCATTAAGAGCATTAATAATTCCAAATTATAGAGAAATACTGTCTCTGAGATTTTCTTTTAAGTCAGGTCATGATTACTAATAGCAACCATGACAGACTATTGAATGTAAGAGGCATTCTGATCTCAGAATTGTTAAAATATAAAAATAAAGATGGATTTTAGAATCAATGAAATGTGCTCTTTGTTTCAATTGTTTAACGAACTTCTACTGCACAACTACCATATGCTAAGGATGCAGCAAATGTAAGGAATGCATGAGTGTGACTGCAAAGATCAGTGACTAAACGTCTGCCCTCAAAGGAGTTTACAGTCCGTTATGGAATATAGAAATACAAAGGAATTGTATATGGAAATATATAGAAAACAAATAATTCACAATGGAAGTATCCAACTTTTATTTTTAAAAATATTAGTATTGAGAAATGGGGCACATTTTAAGCCTTGTGTCAGTGAGCAACCAGATTCTGTTCTCTGTCTACCCCATTTTTTTAAAAAGAAATAGAAAAATTGTATTGTCCTCGGTGTTTGTTTTATTTCTATTTTTTGTTTGTTTGCTTTAAAATACTTGTTTTTCTAAGTAGGCATAAAATAATCTACCAAATCTTACTGTAATTATGAAAGTATTGAAGTATGATGATTAAAGCATTGAAGTATTGAAGTATAATGACGAAAGTGTAATATCAAAGTACCGCAACATCTGTCCTTAAGTGCCGCTGATACAATGCAGAATCTTTTATTCCATTATTTTATCAAGAACAGTAACTTGTTAGAGAAAAATGATGAATTGAATTGAATTTTCATAATGGAATCATTTGCAACTATATGGAACCCACATACAACTGGCAAAATGTCCAGTATAAAATATCTATGTGGCTTATACACCCTTTATAAGGGACTAACCCAGTGAACAGCAAATATGTGCCTAGAGAATGATTTTCTCCTCTCTACCCCACCTAACAGGTTTCACCTGTATCCTTACAAAAGAAAGTTTCCAACTTTGACATGAAAGACCTGAAATCAACAAAGCCTTAAAAATGTATTTCTTCAATCTTATGATTTCTTTTTATGCCTTTAATTTGTCTGATGTGTACATTTGCATAATCGTATTATATTGCTAGTGGGACTTCTCAGCAGTGGCATTCACGTAATTCATAAAATCAAGTTTGTATATAATCTTAGTGAATATAGAAGTAGCCTTGGTTTTAAAGGATCCTAGATTAAACTGTGGGGAGAAAAACCACTGCAATAATATGAGGCATCTGATTTCTGGTCCACAGAAGTCAAGAAATTCAGTTAAGGAAAACAGTTTTCTTTTTATTACACAAATTATTTTCAAGCCTTCTGAATGTATAGACCTCTGTGAGTCTTAGATTAACTGTGTCATGGATACAGTAGATATAGAAACCTAGGTTTATCTCCTCTCATTCTTCTCTGTAATTAAATCAGGATCCATGGACCAGGTTTCTGAGTAAGCACAAAGATATTTTGTGCATGGAATTCCCATCCTCATTTAAGAAGGTCCATGCACAGAATAAGAGTATAGAGTGCTGATAGAAATAAAATTCAAGAAACATTTCTGAATTCTTTATTCTACTTTTATAAAAATAGAGAACAGTGTAAAGTAAATAATGGAGATAACACTCCATGTAGATAAGAAGTAGAAAACTGAATACAAATCTCATATGGTTTACTACTTTGGGAGAACATTTATTAACGTAGCACCAATGCCTTTTCTTATCATTTTTTTTTTAAATTGCAGTGACTGAGCTACATTTCTCCTAAGTTAGGAGAGAAGCAGTTGCCTAATACACCTGAAAGGAATGTTGCATTGACTTCCTATCCACATGTTCCATGCCCTGAGCTCAATGCTTTCCAAACTTCTGTTAGATATGACACTTCCATGTAAAGGTCTCTGTTTTCATGCTTCATTCTACTTAGAAATGCCTACATTTCTCTTATGTCGTGAATTAAACCACTGTGTTGAACATGTATGGTTCAAAATATCAAGACATTACTGTATTTTAGTGTACAGTGGCCTCTTTGAATGTTCTGTAGTATATTCAAATCACAAACACATTTAGTTCAGTGTTTTGGATTCATGGTCCAAAATAGTAATAACTCTAAACCTGATTTAATGCAAAATTCTCTCCCCTCCCCAACTTGGGTCCACTTTGGGCTGGAGACCTGAAGTAAGAAAAGGAGATGGAGCACAGTTGGCTTTTTTGTCTATTATCTCTCCACCTACCTCTCCACTTAGCCCAACCCCAGCCTGATAGCTAGGTTCTGACCACCCTAGCTCAGAGTGAACTATGAAGATCTGTATACAAAGCTTTCCCAATTCCTTGGTGACATGTTAATGGACCCTTAGAAAGTTTCTCTACCCAGACAATATATGTAGATCAAAGCGAGGTATCCAGTGATTGGGCGTTTCCCTGAGTCCATGGATATGCCACATTTCCTGAGCATCTTGTGCTGTACCCCTACCCCCTCTCTGCTGATGGCTTCCTTTTTCCTCTAAGCAGCCAACTAAACAGAGCCCAAGACATGGTCATGTCCCTTCCCTGTGAGACTCACATCTGTCTGGTGGAAATGCTTACCAATAGACTATGAGAGCACATAAATTTCAGTGTACTACCTCTGTTCTCTTGCCACACCGGTTTTAGTTTCTTCAGATATGAGTCAGGCAACATTGGAGGGAAAATATTTCAAAGCTGACAGGTCCCATGGAAAGCTCCTCAGTAGGACTGAAATGAAACAGACAGGGTCTCCTTTCTCCACCTTGAGTTTGGAAGAAGTTGCATCTCACAGTTTTCTCTAAAGATATCCTTCTAATTAAATTTGGTTTCTCACTCTTCTTTTACCTTTAATTGTCTGTAAAGTCTAAGAATCATGGCTTGAGATTTCTTCCACTTTCTCCAAAAATTCTACGTAAGAGGGAGGTCTGTTTTGCACTTACTATGGAATTCTGTGTGTTCTATTTTCAGGTAAAAGTGAGCTGGTAAAAGTCTATTCTATCATCTAGCTTTACAAAAATGTAGGAGGATTAGAGGAATTTTCAGATTTTCTAACTAGCATTCTTGAAGGCGATTTATCAGCAAGTCCTTCTGGTTCTGTCTTCAAAATATACTTTTAATCTGATCCTACCTTTCCATGTTCGCTGCTACCACACATGTCCAAATCATCGATGTATCTCTCCTGGTTGATTAAAATAGCTTTCTATTGTTATTCTTTCCACTGTACCCCTTTTTTAGAAATTCACCTGCTATATTAGATAAAGTAGCCTGCGCTAAGTTAATAAATATACCCATACACGTAATTTCTCAAAAGAAAAGAACTTCAGATTTTGTTCATGAAAGCGTACAGAGTGTTTACTAGTTCATATTGCTGCTGAGTGTACTTGGGGTTGCTCCATGTGGTCATTCAGGTATCAAGGCTCATCATGTCTCTGCCATCTTCAGTCAGTGGCTGCTAAGG